AGCACTCTGTCTCTCACTTCCTTGATGAGTTGCCGCCGGTGACATTTAATAGCTTGGACGTTTCTACCCTTTTATGTAAGATGGAGCATTTGCACAGTGAGATCTGTGCTCTCAGACAAGTCGTCAAGCTTCAGGCTGATGTTGGTGAGGAGTTACATGTTGTTACCTCAACCATCGATCGCAGAGTTGCTGTAGTGGAACGACATGTGATGTCTGATGGAAGGGAGCAGCTGGGTACGGACATGCCTGGAGTGAGGATCCATGGCGTTGATGCACAAGCCGGCGCCGCGGACGTAACCGGGGAGATTCCTGGAGTGCTGGATGTGTTGGCTGGCTCCCAGGCCTCTACGGGCTCTGAGCTTTCTAATGGTGATGTAATCCGGGAAGGTCACGCCAGGGGTGTTGATACTGATATTGTGAATAAGAATATTGAAGGGGTTGCTGATCTTCCTAATTCCCTTTAAGTGGAGAACGGTAGTGAAACAAGGCTGGTGTAAAAAGGATACGAGTCATCCTGTTCGCATAAAGCAGCGCATTAATAAATCTGAGTGCAAGAGGCTGGAGCCTATACATGGAACTGGTGTGCAAGGTAATATAAAAGCTGTCCGGACAAAGCTTGTTAATGTATTTGCCACCAAATTTCTTCCTGATCTTGATGCTGAGACACTTTGTAACTATCTTAAAGAGAGACTTGGCCGTCATGTTCAGTGTGAACGTATTGTGACTGGGAATACCAGATGCAGCTCTTTTAAAATCAGCGTTGAGTGTGAGGATGTCACTGAGGTGTACAATTCGGAGCTGTGGCCAGAGGGATCGCTGGTGCGGCGATATTATGAGGCAAGGAAAGCAACGCGGAAGGGGAGTCTGTTAATGAAAAATTCTATGGGGCTGGGGAGTCTACAGTAGACCTGACTATGGGTATTGTGAGGGGACGGATAGCAGGGGGTGTGGCTCTCCTATGGCATAAAAGATTGGGCTCAGTGATGAATGTGGTAAGGACTGGGGTCGACTGGTGTATTGCTGTTCATTTGAAGTTGGCTAATAAGGAGTTTGTCATTTTGAATGTCTATATGCCATATGAGTGTCTACAGAATGAAGATTTGTATTTGAATAGACTTGCTTTTATTAACTCTTTTATTTGTGAGTATAACTGTACATCCATTTGTGTGGTAGGTGATATGAATGCTGATAGCTTGGACAGTCAGTCGGCATTTGCTAAGCATATGCTGCAGTTTTGTGAGGATAGTCGGCATATATTGTCCAGTCAGTCATTGTTACCAGCAGATAGCTATACCTATATAAGTGAAGCATGGCATACAATGTCATGGCTTGACCATTGCATTAGCACTGCTGATGCACATGCTGTCTTGAAATCTATGGAAATCTTATATGACTATTCTATGACAGATCATGTACTTCTGGTTCATAATCTAAAGCTGTGGGCTGCTGGGAGGAGACACTGTCCACATTGTCTGACCACAAACAGGCTGCTGTTCACCGCTCTGTCAGACTCTATCAGTTATTTGCTTCAGCCGTTCTTTTTTGTTAAAAATGGATTTGCAGTTGCAACATTAGCTGTTTCCATCTTGTCCAGTGGTGTTTGCCTTGATGGTTTTTGTCATGATAGTAAAACTGAATATCCTGGCTATCCTATGGCATAAAAGATTGGACTCAGTGATGAATGTGGTAAGGACTGGGGTCGACTGGTGTATTGCTGTTCATTTGAAGTTGGCTAATAAGGAGTTTGTCATTTTGAATGTCTATATGCCATATGAGTGTCTACAGAATGAAGATTTGTATTTGAATAGACTTGCTTTTATTAACTCTTTTATTTGTGAGTATAACTGTACATCCATTTGTGTGGTAGGTGATATGAATGCTGATATCTTGGACAGTCAGTCGGCATTTGCTAAGCATATGCTGCAGTTTTGTGAGGATAGTCGGTATATATTGTCCAGTCAGTCATTGTTACCAGCAGATAGCTATACCTATATAAGTGAAGCATGGCATACAATGTCATGGCTTGGCCATTGCATTAGCACTGCTGATGCACATGCTGTCTTGAAATCTATGGAAATCTTATATGACTATTCTATGACAGATCATGTACCGTTTGTTATGTTGCTGGATATAAACAATCTTCCTGAGCTGACACACAGGGTAAATGATGGTTGTAAGGTTAAGTTGTGCTGGGCTAAACTTTCAAAAGATGATCTTGCCACATATTGTATGATGACAGATAATGGTTTAAGTAAGGTAAAATTGCCCAGACAGGCCATTATGTGTACGGATGTTAACTGTAAGGATACTTCTCATTCTAGGGATCTTTGTGTAATGTATGAAGGTATTGCTGATGCTATCTATGAGAGTAGTAGATCATACTTTACGGGTATAATGGCTAAAAACTTCAAGCCAGGCTGGAAGAAGTATGTTGCGGTACATCATGCAGAAGCTATAAAAGCGTATAAGGAATGGGTGCAAGTAGGTAGACCCAGGGCTGGAATTGAACTGGAGAATAAAAAGATCACTGGGGCAAGGTATAAATATGCTGTTCGCTATATCACTAAATGTGAACAGAATATGAGAGCGGATGCTATGGCTGAAAAATTGGCACACAATAATGTTTTGGGATTTTGGAATGAGGTGAGGGCTCTGAATAGGGTTAATTCCCCACTGCCCAGTGCCATAGAGGGAGTATCTGGGGCTGATAATATTGCTGATCTGTGGAGAGAACACTATTCTGCATTGTTTAATTGTGTTAAAAGTGATCCCTATGTAGTGGGAAGCATTGCTAGTGAGGATGCTGTGGTGATCACTTCTAGTGAGGTGCATCGAGCAATAATGCAATTGTCTGATGATAAGGCAGCTGGTGCGGATAATATTACAGCGGAACATCTGAAGCATGCAAGCCCAAAGATTGCTGTGTTGCTTGCTTTGTGCTTCTCTGGGTTCATGACTTATGGTTTGCTACCTGGTTCTTTATTGTCTGTTACCTTAGTGCCTGTTATGAAGGACAAAGCTGGCAAAGTTGGGAGTCTGGATAACTATAGGCCAATAGCTTTGGCCAGTGTTATATCTAAAGTTCTTGAGAAGATATTGCTTGATCGCCTGTGTCATTGTATAACAACCACACATAATCAGTTTGGTTTTAAATCCAAGCTGGGGACAGATCTGTGTATCTACAGTCTGAAGGAGGCAGCACAGAAGTACCTCAGACAAAACTCCTCAGTCTTGATGGGTTTTATTGATGCGTCCAAGGCATTTGATAGGGTTAATCACTTTAAGCTTTTGGATAAATTAAGCAAAAAAGGGGTTCCTGATAGCATTGTAAGAATCTTGGCATACTGGTACTCTAATCAGAAGATGCAGGTTAAATGGGGTGGGACTATTTCAGCCTCGTTTGGTGTTTGTAATGGGGTGCGCCGGGGGGGCTACTGTCACCAGCCCTGTTTAACTTATATATGGATGAGTTGTCTGAACAATTGAATAAATGTAACACTGGATGTATGATAGGCCCTAATCTATTGCATACAAGTACACAGTGAATTCACATTTATTATTATATTAACGATATAAACAATCTACGTAATTCCCCCCCCCCCCCCCCCGCGCTGATGATGAGGATATATATCGGCAGTGTCGCATTTTGTATGCTCAAGCTAATATGTTGGTTAGGAAATTTCACATGTGTTCTGCTAATGTTAAAGTTCATCTGTTCAGAACATACACCGTTGTATACTGCCCCATTGTGGTGTAAATATAAAGTAGCTACTTTACAGAAGCTTAAAAGTTGCTTATAATGATGCCTTGAGGATTCTGCTTAAGAAGCCTAGGTCCACCAGCGCCAGTCTGTTGTGTTTACAGGTCTATGTTAGTACCTTTCAGGCATTAATGAGAAAGCTGATGTACAGATTTATCTGTCGTGTGAATAACTCTGAGAACAGTCTTATAATGATGCTGGCTAATCCTGGTTTTAGTGTAGTACGTTACCAATCCTCTCTGTGGAAACATTGGTATAAATGTCTTTTATGATTTTTATTTTTTTCTTCTTTTATATCCTTTCTTTTTTTCTTTTTTTTCTTTTTTGTATGGACCTTGAGTCTGCTAATAAAGGATGATGATGATGATGATGATGACTTCAAGTAAGACACAAATGTGTTAGGACTGTCACTGCATTACACTGAGCAATGAAAAAAACACAGATGAACCAATAGTGAGGTAAACAACAAAGCAACAAATGTTAAAAAGAAAAAAAACAATTACAGACAGTGCTAAAAGAAATGGGACAGTTTGTTCCTGGTGCTGTTTTTGTGGGCACCACTCCTTGTTAAATAGAGGAAGGACATTTTTGTAGACAGAGGTTATTCTGTACAGTCATTGCTTCATCAAGGCCCAAAAAACACAGAAGTCCAACAATGTGTGTTTGTATCTTGAAGATAACAGCTAGGAAATTCAAACAGAGAGAAACAATTCTTGGGGTGTCTGCTGTCCTAGTGGTTAAAAAACATGCCATATATTGGTATTTTAATGTCTGTAGTTCAATAGTTGCATGTGCTTTTTCTCCCCCTTAGTCTTCTGTAACCTTTCAACTTTCTAATGTGAAATAAAGGGAAAACCCTATTTTTTTTAAAAACCACATTAAAAAACAAATCGCTATCTTACAAGTCTGTTGAAACTTGCACATTGAAAAACTGCATAGTGAAGTTTAAAATGTTATTGAGCAGGTCCTTCAACGTGACCCCGAGTGCTCTCGGCCAGAGGCCTGCAGTGTCCTGGAGTCGGTCAGTGCTGCAGCTGCAGGGAAGCCCCTCTGCTGCCTAAACCACGAGGGAAAGGTACGAAGCCCTTTTATGATGCCACACTCCAGTCATCACCTGAACAAAATTGCCCACCTTCTTTGCTTTTATCAGTATTTAATATAAAAGAAACAAGATATTATATTCCTACCTGCGATGCCCATCCAGAGTTTGTCTCCCTCTGCAGGTGATGGAGTTCTACTGTGAGTCGTGTGAGACAGCCATGTGTCTGGATTGTACAGAAGGTGAGCATAGGGAGCATGTGACTGTTCCTCTGCGGGACGTCGTGGAACAGCACAAGGCTGCACTGAAGACACAGCTGGATGCAATTCACAGCAGGTGGGGACTTGATAAAGACTTCACTATATCCTTCACATTAGGTGGTGAGAAATTTTTGGCATCTGCCAGTATGGATCACCTATGCTCTTCTGTGTCTGGCATGTCAAACATGGTAGCGTTAGTAGTGGCGAAGGTCCATGTTCATTAAAGAAAAAGCTTTTGTAGCTTTATAGCTAGTTCTTCAACAGATTAGTTTTTTCTTTTAAATTTTAGGTTTAGTTAAGATTTATTAAACAATGATATTTCTTGTTTCTGTTTTTATTTTCAACTCTTGCTTCTTATTTTTAGTCCCAATCCTTCTATTTCTGGAATAAAATTTCATATTGTGTCATCTTTTAGGCTTCCTCAGCTAACAGTAGCCATCGAGTTGGTGAATGAGATTTCTCGGCAGCTGAATGAAAGAAAGAATGAGGCAGTAGCTGAGATTACCAGTACATTTGAGGAGCTGGAACGGGTACTGCATCAGCGCAAGATGGCCCTCATCACTGACCTGGAGAATATTTGCAGCACCAAGCAGAAGGTTAGTATGCTGAGCACAAATACATGCTCTCTAGCTCACAGACTCAGTCAGATGCACAAACAACAAGTTGTCAAACATGACCAGTTACATCGCTTACATTCCTATATCCTCATTAGAGACAGGATTAGACCCTTTATTATGCCTTGTTTCACCTGCCTTCTCTCATCTCTCATGGTTTACTCTGAGCTGTTCTCTTGCTCTTGTGTGTCCCCTTTCTTCTCTTTACCTGAGTGCAGGTCCTGCAGGCCCAGCTGTCATCCCTCCTTCAGGGGAAGGAGCACATCCAGAGCAGCTGCAGCTTTACAGAGCAGGCTCTCAGTCATGGGAGTGCTACTGAGGTGGCCTGGCAGATTGTCATTTGAACAAACAAACAAGCTAACAAACACAATACAACCCACATGGGAATAAGCTATAAGATTTGATGAAGTGGTGTAAAAGGATGCGTGCTGTAAAAAAAATAAATGTATATTTTTGTGGGAAAAAAATGTTAATAGAAAAAAAAGACAATACAATATGTTTGTCTTGCAAGTACAGGTGCTGCTAGTTCAGAAGCAGATGAGTGAGCGGGTAACAGCGCTGGCTCGATACGACTTCCCAGAGAGACCACATCAGAACGCACACTTGGACTGTCAGGTATAGTATCAACTGTTGCTTATTCTGATTCACATTATTTCAGGCGCCCAAAGTTAGTTAGGGTGGTATGTTAAATGATTTTTGACATCCAGCAGACAGAGCAACATGAGTATCCTGCTGCAGTGCTCTTATTGCCACCTTTAAGTCCTGTATTCACTCTCCTTTTCACTCTGGTTTGACTTTCTTCACCTGCTACAGTTTTGTCTTGGGCAGGTAGCAGACTTGCTTATTTGAGCCTTTTTTTAAATTATTTTGTGGTTATCTGTCACCATACATCACATGAAACAAGCCATGAAACTAAAAACAGTATGGGATACTGCAGTAGAAAATACTGTGCTGTCTGCTGCAGGTGGAGACTGAAGGTCTGCGACGTTCCATCCAAAACTTGGGTGTTCTCGTTACCACATCTGCTGTGGCACATACCTCCGTTGCCACAGGAGAGGGCCTCCGCCACGCAGCGACCGGGCAGCACCACACCATTACTGTGACCACAAAAGATAAAGTACTGTCTTCAGTTTAGCCTTACTATTTGCTACAACAACAAAGGATAGCAGCTTTACATTTTGCATTAGTTTTCATGTGTTGACTAACATGTTTCTCTACTTTGCTTTTTGTCACTTGTGTGGATATTTCAGT